TCTAAGATGGTTCCGGGTGGTACCTGACAGAGTTTGAATGATGGATGCCTTTACTTGTCACATCGACATCTGCTCCTGTTTGGCCTGGCAGCTGCACACTGGCAGTGGGCAGGCGACATTGCACTGTACCCCTCCTGTACTGGTCATACATACTGTCCTCCAATGACTTCTCTAACAGAAGGAATCATCTAAGGCCAAGCGTTCCAGAGATGACAGTGTGCCCAGCATGAGTGACTGGTGGAAGACATCACATATTTAATTGTGTAAAGGTTAGAGGAGGGTGTGGGCTTTTAGAATCTGGAGAGAAAGGTGGGGACTTCAAGAAAGTCCATTCAGCCATCTCACAACTATAGGAAGGAAGTCAGGGATCCTGCTCTACTGTCCTTGATGTTCACTGTGTCGTCCACTGGGACACAACTGGAAGCCAGAGGGCAAGGAGGTGCCTGGTGGCCTTAAGGTCAGCTACCTAGGGCACAGCAAGGCTGCAGAAGGAGTGTAGCTTCGGGGTTAGTGATTATCCCAGACAGACACAATGGCTGTCTGCCTACTCACTTCAGCACACCTGTTTCCTTTTAAAAAGAAAGCCTCAGCCACAGGGCAGATTGTGAGTGTGGTGAGCCTCAATAGCCCTAATCAGGGCCAGAAAGGGCACCATAGGAACCCCACTGTGCTTCCTTCCTCCTGTGAGCCATTGCCCATCTGCAATCAGCCCCTCTCACTTCATTTCAGCCTGGTTCAGAGAATGGATGCCAGATGACTTCCAGATCTTTCTTCTTGTCATCCTCTCCCTCTCTGCTGGTGCCTCTTTCAATTCCAGGGGCACTCCTGTTTTTAGAAACCCCTGATCACCCAGATTTTTCTCGATGCCACCTGATTCCTCCACCCATTTACTCCATTGCCTCTGATAAGCCAGCTTTTAGCCCTTCACCCCTCAGAACAGTTCTTGCCACAATAGCCCTTGATTGCTGAATTCAAAGGACTTTGTTTGCTTCTTATTTTTCTGAGATCCCGGCATATATCCTTGTTGATTACTTTCTCCTTGAAACCCTTCACTACCTTGGTTGCCATGGCAACCCCCACTCCTAGCCGTTCCTCACATCACTCAGGCCCTTCCTCTCTTTTTCCTTTGTTACCTGTCCACACCTCCATCAGCTCCTGAAGTGGCTCTAACCCTGATTTCCCCCATTAGGTACGTTCCGCCCTCTCCCTGGTGAGCCCACTTACTCCCCAGATTCTCCCCTTCCAACCCTCCATCCCTGGGTTGGTCCTTTCTAGAACCCAGCTGGGACACCATGCCTACTAGCCACCCAGCTGTGCCTCTGTCCTGGCTCCGCCTGACACTGAGCCCACTGTTACCTTCCTCCAACTGACTCAAGTTCTGGACCTTAGCACCCTTCACTGTCCACCAATGGCCTCACTGAGAGAGAAGAATCACCATCAGCTCTGCCCTCTTTCCACAATAGTCAACAACGAGGGTACATTGTTGACTCTATCCTCTGAATTGGTCCTCTTACCTAAAGGCTGTCATCTTCAAGTATGATGTTCCCATCTGCCACCACAGCGATCTTCCAAAATCACATACCTGTCACCATGGGGTGAAACCCTTCATGGGCCCACTGACTATAGAATAGTGACCAGATAACTTCACCTGGTGCCATGAGACCCTGCAGAGCCTGGGATCTGCCCTTTTAATCCCATGAATTTCGTTCTCTCTTCCTCTCACTTTCCAGGACCATGGCAGTCTCTCAAGTTCTCTTGTTCCTATGGCATAGAATGTGTTGGTTCCTCTGCCTACAGTGTCTTTCAAGTCCCCCTTACCTTACACCTATCAGCTCATTTTAAAGAAGGCAGACCAATAGTCTAACCTCTTCTGGAACATTCTGTGTTATATAAACACTCTACTATTGCAGTTCCCATATTGTAACGGTCTACTTAGGTGCTGTGTGGTGTACTATTTACATATTACTTGATGATCAGCCTGCTCCTTGTCATTTTTTTGCTTTGTGTAACAAGTTCCCCAAACTTCCATGGCCTGGAGGTGTAACTTATGTCTAAAGGCTCTGGGGCTTACACAGCTGAGCAAAGTGCCGGTTGCAGTTAGACAGCTGCAGGGCTGCAGTACTCTGAAGGCTTGACAGGGCTTAGTGTCCAAGAGGTTCAGCAGGACCAGGCACATCCATGAACTGCCTCTGCATGGATACAGCATGGTCTGATTTCATAGCACATGGCTGCCCTGAACCAGATGGGCTCCAAAATCAAGTTGCTTCTTATGACCCTGTGTCACCAGCTCCAGAACACCCTTTCAACCACATTGTGTTGACCAAAGAGGCCACTAAAGCCAGCCTAGTTCACCAAGGAGAATTTTCTTCATGGTGGCTGTGTACAAATATAAGGTGGGCAGGAAGGGACAGCAGCCACCTCTACAGACTGGACAGTGGGGTCTGGTACTCTCTCCTGACTTGGGCAGCACTAGGGGGAGGACATGGGTGTCACAGGGATTCCAAAGTCATTTGAAACCTACAGCAGGGAAGGCATTTGGTTAGTGGCTGGGTGTTAGGAGGAAAAATCAAAGGCACAGGAGATGCTCAGCCAGCAAAGAGCATACTGTAGACCTGAGCTGAATCCCCAGTACCCACCCAGTGCTGGACAGGGGGAGACAGGCAGATCCTAGTAGCTCACTGGCCAGTTGGCTTTACCTAATTGGTGAGCTCTGGGTCTCAGTGAGAGACCCTGCATCAAAAAACCCAATGTGGGTGGCTCCTGAAAAATGCTGCCTCAGGCTAACCCAGTTAATTTTAAAGGGAAGCACATGGATGACCTCTCTGCCTAAATGGAAATGTTTGAATGACCAGTGGGCGAGGAACCTCTACGGAGACATGAGGAACTTATGTAGCTCTTCTCAGGGCAGGACTGTCAACTGATGACCAAAGGCTTCTAGCATGGACTGGTGAGACCAAGGGCCCCGATGGAAGACAGTGACTAGTGAGGGACTGGATGTTCTCCCAGCAAGTAAACAATCAGGAGGATAGTGGGTGCGGGCTGCCTATGGTCGGGATGAGGGTTTAGCAGGGGTGTCTCAGGTCAGGGGAACTGTAGTCACTGGTGGAGGTAACCTTGTCAGATGGATGCCCGCAGGGTTCATGGGTGAGCCGTGGGGAGAAAGGCATGTGTGGTGGGGAGATACTGGAAGGAGGAGGAGGATATGTAGGGGACTCTGGCTATTTTTTGGAAGCAGCTAAGTGTGTGCTTTTGAGCGGAAAGGGGTGGAGGTGGGTGGTGAACCTGAACATAGTGGCACTCTTTGGGGAGGCTCCATTTTGTGGCCGCTCCTGGGCCATCTTCCACCTTCCATTCTCCCTCTGTACAGCTAGCTCTGGGCCTCCACCTCTTAGCCATCTGCACTGAAATTCACCTATTATGTAGCCTGCCTTTACTGACCATCACTGACCAGACCGGTGGATCCCGATTTGAGCTGGTCATGGAGACACTGGCTCAGAATTCTGGGACTCACATCTGACACTGGCACACCTGCTTGGTGCCAACCCCGAGCTAAGCATTTTTTAGGCAGTCTCCTTGGACCCTGTGACATGTGAGGGTGGGTACTTTTTTTTTTTTAAATAGGGTCTCACTATGGAACCCACATTGGTCTCCAACTTACACCTCCTGCCTCAGTATCCCAAGCATCGAGATCACCTTGGTGCCTTTAAGATCATGGTTTTGAGCAATGTCAAACACTGGCATCCACCAAGTCTATCATTGCCATGAAAGGAGAAGCAGAAAGCCCAAGAAAGAGGGCTGGCCTAGAATGTGCGGCAGGAGAGGAAAACCTTCAGATTCTCCACTCCTTAAGGCGGCCTGCCCCCGCCCAGCTCTAAAACTTCCTGTATTAGGGAAGGTACTTTCCACAGAACATCACATCACATCGAAGAGCAGCTAACAGCAAGAACATTTATTTAAGTGTGAAAAATCCAGAAGTCAGTGGTCGCAGGTATGCTGGCTCACAGTCAGCAGGCTCGTTCCCCTCCACATAGCAGGATGGCTGTCAGAGTTCCAAGTTTCATGTTTTCACCCAGCAGCACCTAGATAGAAAGGGAAGGGGAAGGCCAGGAAAGCCACCAGCCACCTGGAGAGGGAGTGAAGCCCGGCCTTGAAGCCGCCCTTCTAAGTTACTGAAATGGGCTCGTAGGAGGCCTCAGAACTGCACCTGCTATACCCTTTTCCTCCCTTCCTTCTTCTTTTTCTTTCTTTCTTTTCATCTTTCTTCCTTCCTTCCTTTCTTTCTTTCTTTCTTTCTTTCTTTCTTTCGTTCTTTCTTTCTTTCTTTCTTTCGTTCTTTCTTTCTTGTTTTTCTTTTTTTGGTTTTTCGAGACAGGGTTTCCCCGTGGCTTTGGAGGCTGTCCTGGAACCAGCTCTTGTAGACCAGGCTGGTCTTGAACTCACAGAGATCGGCCTGCCTCTGCCACCCGAGTGCTGGGATTACAGGTGTGGGCCACCACCGCCCGGCTTATGCCCTTTTCTTATCTCTAAGACCTATATGTCCCACAGGCTAAGCTCTGGGGTCTTTGGAAAGTACCCCCTGACATCCCCATGCCCACAGCAGGGTTTAAAGTTCAATTCTGGTTATCTGACTTGTACGGACTCTATCCGCCCCTTCCTTCCTTGTCCACCAAGTGTCCACAGCTGCTCAGTCTTCCCTGCAGCGGTCCCCTCCCCCACTGCCACATTAGGGTGTGTGACAATACTGACATCCCGTTCTGAGGCCTTAATAATGTTCACTCAGTGTAAAAACTGAGTATCGGTGACAAAATTCTGTTATCTCCTGTGGGTGTGTAGATACATATTTACAAGTTTCCAGAAAGGTCTAGAAAAGTGCACACCAAGCCCATCACAGTGGCTCCCACTGGGGAAGTGGAAGGGGAAGGTGATGGAAGCAGGTGGCCAGAAGGGACTCCAGCTCCAGCAGTGGTGCTCTGGTTCTTAAAAAGGAGGATGTATTCATGTTTCGCTTGTGTCATTAAACTTTAATTTGAAAAAATTCCCATTCATTTTCAGCCAATTACTCTGGCTCTGTGCTCAGCTGTGCTTGCGTGTTTGTGCCCAGGGAGGAAGAACGTTTACTTTGTGTGTGTCTGTGAATGAAGTGCAGCCATTAGAAAGTAGATTAAAAAGAAATGCAGCAAACAAAAGCCAAACAAAACAGGAGAGGGGGCAGTGGAAACTCATTCACAACAATGATGGAAACCAAAGCACTAAACCCACGAGGAAAGCCACAGGGTTCTTAGGAGAAGCTGGGTGTGTGGAAGACATGATGGACAAACAGTTCTGCCTCGCTCCTGCTGTGAATGGCAGAGTATTGCACTGATGTCAGCTTCCCCGGAGTTAATCTCTGAATTCACAGCATTTGACAAGCAGCTTTAAACCCGTGTGGAGGAGTAAGCTAAGACAGCTGTAGGGAAGCATGGTGAAATGTGGCATTTTACTTACCAGACAGCAAAAGGTAGTAAAAAGCAATGGCAAATTAAAGTCTGGTGCTGACAGGAATAAACAGATTAGTTAAAAACAACAACAACAACAAAAAACCCAAAACAAAACCAAAAAAGGCCAGGGGCCTTGAAACTGTCTAGCAATAGGGCCTCAGTTGAGAGGAAGCCACACTTCAGAGCAGCAGAGAAAGGAGGGAGGAGCCGATCCATTCTACTGTGTTCCGATAATCGGCTGTCCGTTTTGAGAAAGGTTAGATGCTGTCTCAGTTCAATCATAGAAATATATTCCAGGTGCAAGAAAGAGCCAAGAACAAAAACTGTGAAACCATTAGGAAAGTATAAAGGTTTCATTTAAACCAAACATGATATATATTCAAAAAGGACTAAAGGAGATTGAGGAAATACATTAGATCAAAATTGGTAACTTCTGTCTAACATAGGATTCTACAAAGAGCTGAGAGCCAAAAAAAATATTTGTCCAACAGGCACAAAGGTCTACTATCCAGATTACATGAGGATGTTCTACAGGCCAATGAAGAGCCTAATGCAAAAATAGGCAGTTCAGAGTGGCAGGAATAATACAAATGCCCAATGTACACAAGAAAACCTTACTGGCAAACAGCAAAATACAAATTTAAAATGGGATTTAACTTTTCACCTCTCCTATTGGCAAACACTGAGAATTGCTCACGGTGTGGGGATTAAAGTCAGCCTCTGGCTAGATGCTTGCCTGGTACAGAAACCATGGCGGGCACCGGTTAAGTCTGATGAAACTGACAGCGTGCAGACCCAGCATCCTACCTCTTCATCACTGCCAAGTTAGAGGGCTGCTCACAACAGAGTAGAGACAAAGAACCGACTAAATGTTGGTAGAGCCTGGAGACGGAGAATGAGAATGGAGGGAACAAGTGTTCCGCTGTGTTAAAGGACATGAGCTTTAGGAATCAGCATGGCTGTGTGGTAAAGATTCTAAAGTGAGTCAAGATGCAGCCTCCGGCAAGCTCATGCCAGCATGGTTTCACACACTCCCCAGAAGCAGATACACAGAGCTGTGGAGGAGATGGGATATAAGACTTTGGTAGAGGTGACAGCAGCTGGGTCCATACCATTCCACCTCTAAACAGGAGAATGTATTCATGCCTTGCTTGCTTAATTAAAGTGTAATTTGGAACGATTCTAATTTGTTTTCGGCTAATTATACCAGCTCTGTGTTTGGTGGTGCTCGTGTGTTTGTGCCCAGGGAGGAAGAAAGTTTACTGTGTGTGTCTGCAGAGCAAGCTCACTGATTAGTGAAAGGTTGAGATGGAGACCATGGGTCAAGCAAACAGAAGCAGAGGGGTGCTAGCAAAACCTTAAGTACCTAAGAATAAAATACGAAGTAGGCAAGACTGTCACCAGAGGAAAAACACCAAACTTTTCAAAGGCAGGAAGACGCCTGGAACCAGCAGGCACCGTATGTGCTACGGGATGAAGATGTCCATTTCTCTCAGATTCAGCCACGGATTCCCTAAAACTCTGAGCAAGGTTTTAAAGCTTGAGCAGCTGGTTCAAAAATGTAAACTGTGTGACAATATACAAGACCAAGATGATGCCACAGAACAAGAGTGGACTGCTTTTGCTGTTATCAAAGCAACATGGAGCTCATGGATGACTGGAAAGAGCCTGTGTTGCGCGTAGTTGGGAGCTGTGTGGAACAAAGGAAATAAGCCAAAACTGCTAGAGGAAATGCAGCATGGCCAGTAAGTTGTATTGGAAAACTTAGTCATCCATTTTGAAATGTATCAAAACTAAACACGAATACCACACTCTAATAAGCCTCGCCTGCAGTGATGTGTTAAATGTGAGAGCTGGGAAACAATAATATGATACAAATGTAAGAAAAGCAGCAGGGAGTTTTCAGAGGAAAAAAGTGAGAAAATACTTGATAGGCTGGTGAAGGGAAGGCCTTCAGAAGGCAAGGTTAGAGGCTAAGTCTGGCTGGATGTGGGGGCCTGTAGCTCTAAAACTTGGAGGGGGAAGCAGTGAGATCAGCAGCTCAAGGTCAACCTCAGCTACACAATGAAATCTTATTTCAAAAATCAAAAACAACCAAAACCTCAGACAGTAGCCAGCCTAGGCCCTGGAGAGTGTTTCTGGAGCCTGTGCCTTGGTGTTCTCTGCTGTGCTCTTCCTGACTGAGGAAAACTAACTTCAGGGTAATGTTTGGAAGGGAAAACAGAACACAGACGAGTATGACCCAGGTAGAGGGTAAATGAGAAGAGTACCGTGTAACATCCATGACCGGGCCACATTCATTCTGGATACCCTCATCATTGCTAAGATGTGTGTTACTTTGAAAAGAAATCCCTGAAGCTCTGAACAAAGGCTTCCTGGAGGAGAAGGCCTCAATCTCAGGTGGCAGAGACAGCAGCTGGGACCATACCACTCCACCTCTAAACAGGAGAATGTATTCATGCTTTGCTTGCTTATTTAAAGTGTAATTTGGAACAATTCTAATTTGTTTTCGGCTAATTATACCAGCTCTGTGTTAGGCGGTGCTCTTTTTTGTGTGTTTGTACCCAGGGAGGAAGTTTACTTTGGGTGTCTGCAGAGCAAGCTCATGATTAGTGCAAGGTTGAGATGGAGACCGTGGGTCAAGCAAACAGAAGCACAGGGGACCCGCCAGCCAGAGCTGCTAAAAAACCTGTAAAAGGGCTGAGGGTTAAATCCACCAAGAAACAAAAGGCAGGATGACCCAGAGAAAGCAGCCATCTTCTCCAGAGGGACAAGATGCCCTGGGCTTGGAGGGTGCCGTGAGCACACAGGAAAGAGGCTGATTACGCTCAGATTTATCCATGAATTCAGTGTAACTCCAACAAAATCTCCTAGCAAAAATTCTATTGAAACTGATAAATTTTAACATTCATACAGTAGGACTCACGTGCAAGGATGGCCAAAGCAGCTCTGCACATCAGAGAAGGTGAGTCAGTTCTGCTCTGACCACAGCTTAGCAGCAGCCTGGGAGGAGACAGGCACCATGGACCAGGGATGGCCTCACACAGTGCGGTGGGGTGGCACTAGGTACAGGGAGCAGGCTTAGATGACACCATCTACATTCCACAAAATAGTAGGGTGGTGACATTATACAATAAGAATCGTGCATATGGAATTTATTATTTATACATGATACAAATATATATTTAAAATTATATATAAACATAAATATATAAGTAAGCTATAAATGCCAGGGAAGAAAGTACAGGAAAAATGCCTTGAAATTAATATAAAGAAGACTTCTTTTTTGTTCTTTAAACAGGGTTTGTGTAGCCTTGGCTGTCCTAGGCTTTGTAGACCAGGTTGGCCTTGAACTCTCAGCGATCTGCCTGCCTGTGCCTCCTGAGTGCTGGGGTTAAAGGCGTGTGCCACCACTTCCCTACTAAAGGCTTTTAAGATTGCCAAAAGAAGGTGTAAAAGTAAAGCCAACATATGACTGTATCAAAATCTTAAATTTTTCTAAAAGCAATTCAACTAAATGGCAAAAGAATCACAATGTAGAAAAATATGTCACTAACGAGAAAGCATTAGTATATAAAAGCATGAAACAGATGAAGAACCAAAAACCAATGAAAGATGAAGTATCTTTTAAAAAAGAAAGAAAAAAAATGGGCAGGAAGTGGCATCATACCTATAATTCCAGTACTCAGTAGACTGAGATTGAAGGCTAGGATGGGGTCCATAGTGAGATACTGTCTCAAATAATGGAAGAAAGAGAGAGAGAGAGGAGAGAGAGCAGGAGGGAGAGAGGGAATGAAAGGAAGGGAGGAAGGGAGAGGGAGGCAGGCAGAGGGAGAGAAGCAGGAGGGATTTGGGCATACAATCCAGAGGTAAACAAAGGCTTCAGCTGTGGCACTACACAGGGAACGCTAACCTGTGACAGTATTTGTACCCATCCAATTGGTGGAGACGCTCTGGCAGGAGATTGAACCAGGTATTCTGGAGAAGACTGTAGCTGTTTTTATCTGAATTCAGGATGTGTCTCCGTACAACCTAACAGTTCCAAGTGCTTGTCCTTTAGAAATACTTGTATGTGGGCAAAAGGGGACTAAATGCAAGGGTAGGTGCTCTCAGTGTTTGTTGTGAACACCACCAAAGGTATTTCCCAGTCAATCAACAAGTAACAACTAAACAGAAGACGATCTGCTTGTGTGCGGCTGTGTGCGGCCAGCTGAGCAGAGCACTGGAGTGAATGGAGATGTAGACAGCCTCTCAAGGCGAATCCTGTAGGGCACATAGCTCAGGAACACCTCCAATGTGGACACCACCTGTCTATGCAGACAGACAAAACAAAAGGACAGAGACATGTTGGAAAGGGCACATGCAAACACTAGACCAACAGGGACACTAATATCAGTACCCCCCCCAAGGTACAAGGACCTGAGGGAAAGGCCAAGGGCCAAGTAGGGATGCCCCATCTGTAATGTGAACTGTATTTAAAGAAAATGTATTCATGTTTTACTTGTATAATTGAAATTTAATTCAAACATTCAAATTCATTCCTTGTTAATTAGCTCAGATTTGCATGTGTGCTGTGCTCTCATTTGTCTGTCCAGGGACAAAGCACTTGGTGTATGTCTGTGAATGCTGCATAGTGATTAGCAAATTGATTAAAATTTGGAAAGTGAAATGAGAAACTGGGCAAGTTTTTCCATTCACGGAAGCAACAAAACTAATAAGGTGTTCAGGAGTCAAGTCATTAAGAAATGTGGAGGACGCCTGCGACCTGCGGGGCCAGCTTTTATTAGAAGGTATTAAAAGCAAAGCAAAACCTAACCAAACAAGGGAGACTGACCATGGGAGACGGACGGCGCCACAGTCGCAGATGGGAGAAGCTGATGGCATCCTAATGATGCTATTTTTCCCTCCAATGCAGTCTCCCTTAATAAGATTTTTTTTTCCCCATGGAACTTTGACAAGCTAATTATAAGATATATAAAATTAAACCAGCAATATAACAAGGTAATTTTTAAAAAAGAATAGAGGGCAGGGTAAGGATACTTACCGTATCAGCTATTAAGACACTATTCAAAGCTTTGCTCATTAAAACACAGCCTTGGTCCACAAAATCACACAAGAGATCAGCAGTATGAAGAGACTAGTCACAGGATCCGGGAGAAAAGTTGGGCAGGGCTGTGAGGAGAGGTGTTCAGCAAGCTTGCTGTCTGTCCAAATCCATCTCTGTCACATCCCATTAGAAATGTGCCTCAGAGGGAGTAAACACAAAACGCACAAGCAATGACACTGGATAGTTTGCCTGCCACTGGGGAGGGTCCTGTTCAGAGTGGCCAGGGCTCCAGAGAAACCAGCTTTCTTTCTATCCACTGCTTGGGGCTGCTGGCCTGAACCTCCCAGACAGCTGCATTCTTTTTTCTGCTCTTAGTCTCTTAGACTGGTCCTACCACACTGGTTGGAAGTCTACAATAATTCTTGTCACTAGTGTGGTGTTGGCATGATCGGGTGTGTCTTTTCTAGCTTCCATTCCCTCCTGGAGGGAACACAGAACACTGTCTTGTGAGGGAGAGGGGGTTCAGTGACGTGGGGATGTGACTCTAGGGCTCATGAGGATGTATGTGTGAGCAGACTACTTTTTCTCTACCCAGTCACCCAAATGTCTGCCTCCCCAGATTTAGCTGCTCTAATTCATTCCCCTTTATTGAGCTGCAACAGTCATACTTTTTGGTTGAAGCAAGAATACATGTTGATTTTTGGAATTCCAGTCCAAGGCAGAAGATACTGGCTTGGCACCTGAACAGTTCAGTCTATTGCACACAAAATATTGGACACACATTGTCCCAGCCACAAAACAAGATCAAACTGGTGCTAATTAGCATGCAGGCAGGATATAGGAAAGATAAAAGCTCCAAAAAGAACATGGGATCATATTGTTCTCTAAAAGGTAAATAATTTGAGTTTTACCCATATTTGGTCATATACACATTATTGCCCCAAACTCATTTATCTTCCTCTGCACTTGATCCCAGGCCTTTGGGAGCTCATTTTAAATAATTGTCTCCACCCCTAATTGTTCAATTACTCTGGCTCCACGGCCCAGAATATCCACACACCAGCACCGTTGTTTTCTTCAAGATTAATATGAAAAAGGCCATATTTTCTGTTTGCTTCTTTCTCTCTCCAGCTCCTCGCTGTCTGTCTGCCTTTGGATTCTGCTTCTGTCCTTCCTGGCGTAAGCCTCTGGCACAGGGTTACCCATAACCCAGAATACATTCTGCTGGATTTCCCATCTCAGTCTGGAGGATGTTTCTGTCAGAGCACCCATCAGTGTGGGGCCCTGTACACTGACGTCTGTCTTTCTCCTCTACTGCTCCAGAAGCCCTACTAACTGCTCAGTTGCCCCCCAAAAAGCCAGCAGAGGCACACTGGAGGGTGCGGCTGTCTATACTAGTTAATGAACAATGTGTTCATCCTTCCTAGCCTCACTCTCCACACCCCGATTTTCCACATCTCCAAGTTCTCCTTCTTGACGCTTTAAAGGACTTATCGAGTCTCATGCTCCCCTTGATGTCAGCATCACTCCTCTTTATGTTCCTACAACTTCCCCGAAAGCTTTTTTTTTTTTTTTTTTTTTTTTTTTTTTTGATTGTGTTTTTTTTTTTCGAGTCTCATGCTCCCCTTGATGTCAGCATCACTCCTCTTTATGTTCCTACAACTTCCCCGAAAGCTTTTTTTTTTTTTTTTTTTTTTTTTGATGTTTTGAGACAGGGTTTCTCTGAATAGCTTTGTAGACCAGGCTGGCCTCAAATTTACAGAGATCCACCTGCCTGTCTCCCGAATACTGGGATTAAAGGTGTGCGCCACCTCTGCCCGGCTTCCAAAAGCTCTTAAGGCCACTCCAAACCAGCTAACCCTAAAGGCCAAAAAGGAAATTCCTGTCTTCATCTGATTGGAATTCGATGCCACATTCGACAATGTTGATTACTTTCTCCTTGAAACTCTTCACTACCTTGGTTGCCATGGCAACCCCCTTTCCTAGTTGTTTGTTGCATCTCTCAGGTCTTTCCCTTTCTGCCACCTCCAACAGCTCCTTGAATGTTTCTAACTCCTGGTCTTGACCTAGGCCCTGTGCTTCTTCTCCACCTGTTCCCTAGCAGCCATTTTCTTTGACTTCGCATTACAGAGTGGCAATGACTCCAGGCCCGTTGTGCTTTTTTATTCAGCCCTCAACCTAGGATTCAGGTGTCTGCCGGGCCCACACCTGTCTGTGTCCCCAGTACCCTGGTCACATGTGAGCCACTTTTATGTCTCTGTCTTATAATACTGTGTTCCCCAATCCAGAACCTTGCCACCCATCAGGGCTGCACTCAAGACACCAGGGCTACTCCATGCCTGACTTTCTTTCTAAGTGTGTGTGCACACATATGCAAGTGCATGCCGGAGTCTATGTGTATGTGTGCAGTGCAGGAGCCTGAAGAGGTCAGAAGACCCAGGGTGGCATGGGTACTAGGAACGAAACTTGGGTACTCTGCAAGAGTAGTATGAGCTCTTAACCATGGGACCACCCCTCCAGCCCCAGCCTGACCTCTTAACGGCCAACCATTCTAAGTACTTCTGGCTTCTGTCTAGCATGAGGTTCTAATCCATTCTTCTACAAGCCTACTGGTCAAGTTGAGAGCTGTCTCTCATACAATCTCCTGCCTCTGGAGAGACCAGATGCTTAAAGGAGACCAGGGACCCGTGGCTTCCTAGCGTCCCTCACTCCTCACCCAATCCTAACACCTATGAGACCTGGTAGTAACTGGCAAGTAGCTGAGGTAGAACTTGGGCTGCTCCACTACAAAGAAGACACACAACCAAGTCCCATAAGACATGGCATGAGTCCCATGCTCAGGCAGCTAAGCCATAGCTCACCTGATCTTGACTTCTGTGCATGTCTGGAAGAAATAATTACAATTAGTATATACTGTTTAGGAGAGACCAAAGAGCTCAAGACTGTGCCTTCATCCCTGCCCCTGTACTTTTTACCATTCTATCTTTCTGCTTTGCTTCTCTGGGTCTATTTCCATCCCTAAGAAACAGACCAGCTGGCTGGCTGCCTCACTGCATGCAGGCTGAGGGACTGTAGCCATCAGAAAAACAGTGGCCATGACCCATGGCACACACTATGAGGAGTTGAGCCCACACTGAGGCCAGGGAGCATTCTCTGACATCTAGATAGAGTAACCATGACTGCTATTTCAGTTGCTATCTTGATTTCCTGTATGATATAACAGAAATCTTTTTGAGAAAAAGAATATATCTGAATCTCCATTTCAGACATTGGAATTGAGACAGACAGTGATTATTCTGCCCCTGCCTCAACAGCTGCCTGTTGCTAGGTGCCCAGAGCTACAAAAAACACTAAGACACGACCCCAGCCACCAGGCAAGAAGCAGCTACAGCTAATTAGAGCTGCAGTTAGGACCCACAGGCAGATGAAGGCTCCCTGAGAGCATGGAGATCAGGTTCCCTGCAAAAAGGAACATGATTGAATTGCTCCTTTCCACCAACACAACTAATCCCCTCACCTCAACACTTAATCCCACTGTTCTGGGGCCCTTTGCTGTCTGTCCCCACTCTGCAGGCCCAGCTTTCCCTTTCCTGCTGTGGCCGGTGAGATGGGTGCCTTCCTGACTCTGTAGCCCCTTCAGCCCCCTTGTCCCTCCTCTTAGCTAGATTAGAGGCTGATTGTCCCCGACCTGGGGGACTTCTGCCCTGTCCTCAGATCTGTGCAGCAAACTCTTTGCTGGCTTCTGGAACCTATGTTTTTTTGTGGTCTCTTCCAATGGCACTTTCTCAGTCTCCTCAGCAAGGCCCATGTTGTAACTGCCCATGGAATGCTAGTCACAGATCAGTTTTGGGCCTGGTTTCCTGTGAATTGTCTGCACCTTTGTGAAAGTATACTTGCATATGTAGTAGATGGTTGTGGGTGTCCATGTGCATGTGTGTGTCAAGCCACAGGGTGACATCAGGTGTCTTCATCACTTTCCACTTCATTTCTGAGATGGGATCTTTTGGTTGGAGCTCAAAATTTGCTAGACTGAGCCCAGCAAGTCTCACCAATCCTCTCTAGTCATCTGGTGTGTGCTGCCAATATCTAACTTTGTCTTTTATACAGGGCTGGGGATTGAACTCAGGTCATAATGTTTGCATAGCAAGCATATCAACCTAGCCACCTTAGTTGTATGCTCTGAGGTGGGTTTAGAATACAGCTTTCCTTGTACTAATCGACAGATCAACAATTGGAACCTTGGCTTTGGACAAACCTTCTCTTGCTCCAGCTCTGAGCTATTTCTGACTGATGACGATACCTGGAGGTATGTTCTCAAAGAATGTGCCACCTGGGCAGAGAACCAGAAGGTGACAGGAAAGTCTGATGGCAAACAATGACAATGAAAACGGGACAGCATTTCAAGGTGAGAAAGCCATTGAAACTCTGCCAGGTGAATGTGTAGAGAGACGGCTCACCTACTTTGCCAATGTGGATGGACCCATCTAGTTGGCATCCACCAGTCTGTAGGCATCCAATCCTGCAAAGAAACATTACTCAGGGGCCAGAATGTCAACCCCACCCTCTCCCTCACCAGTACCAACCTACCTGAATGGTCTGCCAAGACATTTCACCACAAGCAGCAGAATCATCTCAGCCAGTTTGTGGCAAGTTCACCTTCTTGGGCTACAGCCATCTTGATCCACTCCATGCTCCAAAATGTGGAGTTGACGAAGTCTGGGGTCTCCATTCCCCATCAGCACTGTCACACACCTTGGGGCACCTGAAGATGTGATGCTAGCACTGAAAAGGAACTCGGGACAATCTAGTTCAGCTGCCTCCCTCTGCAGATGGGGAGACAGGCCTGGTGAGGGAGGTAACTCCCAGCAAGTCAGTGGAGAAGCGTCCTCACTGGGGACATCAGGATGGGGACTCTGCCTAGCTAATCTTGATTGAAACAATACAGAGGTTGGAGCTATGGCTCAGCAGTTAAGAGCAGTGGCTGTTTGTGCAGAGGACCTGGTTTCAGTTCCTGACAACCACATGGCAGCTCACAATAGTCTGTAACTAGTTCCAGGGAATCCAATGCTGTCTTTTCACCTTCATGGGCACCAGGTACACAGATGGTGCACTTACATACATGTAGTGTATACATGTATACATAAAATAAAAATAAAATAAACTTTTAAAACAAAACAAAGAAAAAAAAACCATAATGGAGCTATGTGTTGTGAGACTTAGGTAGTAAATTTTATCTATCCAGGGAAGAGGCACGTTGTGTGAAAGGGATGATATGATCAGAGGACAGGCTATTTTTGCTGGAGGTCCCATATGTGACATCTGGGTAATTGAGAACCCTAGGTGATGAAAACAAACTCATCCAAGCCTGGGAGAGTCTTGATAGGGGATCCTCAAATCTCAGGAATCACAAGTGCATAAGACTCCAAATACCATGCAGACCTGTGATCAAGGGAGGGTTGTCTTCCTAGTCTTGACCACTGCATGCATCAATTTGAATGACCCAGGTAGCCCCACCCAGCTGGCCAATGGATGGGACCCCTGGTTCCCTTCCATCAGCAGCAGCTTGACACTAACAGTTCAATTGATTGTGTACTATTTATTTATTTATTTATTTATTTATTTATTTATTTATTTGAGGTAGGGTTTCATGTAGTTCACAGTGTGTTTTGTTTTGTTTTGTTTTGTTTTGTAGACAGGGTTTCTCTGTGTAGCCCTGGAACTAGCTCTGGAGACCAGGCTGGCCTCCAACTCAGAGATCCACCTGCCTCTGCCTCCTGAGTGCTGCCATTAAAGGTGTGTGTGCTGCTATCACACAGCTCTGGCCTCTTAACTCTTTCTGCAGCCAAGGATGACCCTGAACTTCTTATCCCTCAACCTCTATCTACCAAGTGCTAGGATGACAAGCATGAGCCGCCATGCCTGGCTGCTTCATTTGATGTAATTTCTCACTTCAGATGTTCATTTCCTACCAGCAAATATTTACTTAGCACCTTCCAGCAATGGTTTCAGAACAGGCGAGGTCAGTGGCCCAGTGCTAAGCTACTTCGGTTTGGGTGGGTGGGTTTTTTCATGCTGGCTGTCCCAGGTTGACCTTGATTAAATAGTTCAGCCTATTCCAGACAATTGGGAGGGGCATAGGCCATCACTTGTACTTGCTCACTGCTGGCCTTCACTTTCCTGATGTCATTTCTGTGCTTTTTAGTTTAGACACTCTTTCAATATCTAATTCCTTCCCTCACCCTTAACTTTTAATAGGTTCTTATTTCCAATTTGACTGTTTTCAAAAGTTCTCTGCTCTCTGATCCCTTCCCCCTGAGCAGGTGTGTTCCAGCTCTCAAGTCCTGTCAACCTCCTCCATCTTCTCTTGCTCCCACCTCAGGGCTTCACTTCTGCTGCTCTCTACCCCTCCTCCACTCGTGACTGGGAGGAGGAGGAGGACAGTAGTTAAGGTAAGGCTCTGGAGGACAACAAGACAGGGTAAGTCCCAACAAGTCTGCTTTTACTCCTGGGCAATTCCCATCTGGAAGCCATCTGTCCAGTAGGCACAACTGTGCCACTCTTAGGATGCTACGAGGTTTCAGGGGGTCCTGTTGACAACTG